GGGGTGGATGGGGGGCCTGGCAGCCCCCAGGAGGAGAGGACAAGAGTTTTGCAGAGAAGGGAGCAAGGCGCTCGGGGCAGAGTGGAGCGGACAGGGGGTCCCGCAGGCGGAGAAGCAGCCAGAGCCGGTTCCAGTTGCTCCCGTCCGGTGCCTGTTTGTTGTCTTTTGGGTTTTTCCTTTGGAAAAATCGTGTAGTCTTAAACCGCGAGGCAAGAAGAGAGAGGAACGGTTTGCAAAATTGAGGAAAACTTGGTGAACTTGAGGCACTGTGTATTGCAGATTAGCATTCAGTCGGGCCTTGCGCCGCTGGGACGCTGCAGCCTCAGAGAGCAGAGAAAAGGCGGCTTGCAGGACCCCTCGGCTGCAAGAAGGTAGAGCCGCCAGCGTACTTACTGATCACTGCGCTCCGAGCTTCCTCCTCTGTTAAACACACCGGCAACCACAGTAACGACCACCAAAAACCGTTCGCACTCCGAAAAGCAAAATTAAACATAATTGCTTTTATTTATCTATTGCTTTTATATCATTAAAATATTTTTAGTTGCACTGTATAAAATAGCATCCACTCTGTGATTATTACCTGCCATATCTGTTGATCTGCTCCTTGTGTATCCCGCACAGCAATATTAACAATTAAGAAAAAAGCATATCTTATACATTGTATCTGTCAAGATATGTTACAATTTCCATTAACAAAACCACATTATTCTTGTTGAAGAAGCTATGAAGCATATCTTTCATGAGCACTTTATTAATAATCATAGTTGTCAAAAAGAATTAGATATGCATAGATTGTAGATGCAAAGGAAATATTAGATGCACAGAATAAAATATACAGTGCGATTGAAGCATAACTATTTTTCTTTTTAAAATAAATTTTTACCGAGGTGAAAAAAAAACCTGAGCTATTAAGCTTACTTAAAAGATGGCTTTGTTGGTTTAATTATACTGTAGTTATTTTATAAATATGTTTCAAAGGAAGCTTGCCATATTGCATGTCAATGAGGACTGTAAAGAAAAGCTCACAAAAGCTAATGCATACCAAATACCAAATTTTAGTCATTAGCATTCTTATTTATTACAAACTAAAGGGACCTATTAGCAGACAAGAATTTCTATTTAGCTAGCATTACAATGTTTGGCCATTAAAATAAAAGGGCAAAGTATATACATATTTTTTTCCCCTTGGAATTATACGTTCTTTTCGCCTAGAAGCTCCTGGAGAGATTGGGGGATATTTGCCATTGGGGAAACAAGGTTCTACAGTGAGAATGGGCCGGAGGGCCCAGAACCACTATTTTTAGTTACCAAGCTTAATGCTATTTATTTTGAAGCAAGAACAGTGCTGGGCTGGGGATATACAGCGTCCTGAGGGCTGCGTAGTAACTACAGTCTGTGAGGGGCCCTTTGTCTTTAATTTGTGTCATGTGCATATGCAAATTATCAATTGTTTTTCCTCTGGGGGAGGAAGTGGATAGCAACGGTAATACTGCTTTTGTTTGGATATTAAAATGTCCTTAAATGCTCCCTAGACTGAGGTACTTCTCCCAATGCGGATTCCCCTAATAGGAAACCCTACCACGGCTTTAAACACAAGCGTATTAATTTTAGAAACACTCACATATAGATTTGTGTCATTTCAAAACCCTTTCATTTGAGCAAAAGCGGCAATTCTGCTCTCACACCAGAAGTAAATGAATATATAAATATATTTTTCTGAATGCCGATTTGAGAGGGAAAAAAACTTTTCAACCATTTTTTACATTTAGAAACTTTAAAGATCTTTCTTCTTATTAAAATCAAGGTAGACTCCTCCTCCCCCCCCCCAATTGGGTAAGAAAACAAGTAAATATTACAGAAACTGAAATGAAACATTTGAAATGATAAAGAAGGGTTATTTTGAATTATGGTAGGTGAGAAATTTTTTTTAAGTGCCGAACAGGAAAAAATAAATAAATAAGGCACAGCGTCTTCTGGCCTGATGTTTGATTCAGACGCGAATGTATCTTAAATATTTTCAATGCAAAAAGTTCTCCAAAACAGGCAGAATGCTACCTACTTTGGGGGACTTTTTGCATTAAAAAGATTGAAAATTTCTAAGAAAGGTTCTTCTTTGAAAGGCCTACATGAAAACAACATGTATTAGAAGGAAAGAAGGGAATTCCTGATTTAATAAAGAAAATCTCTCCATCAAAAATAATTAACATTTGCAAACCACATGCAAAATCTTAATTTTCAATAATAAAAGTCGTCGTGTGGTGGTGGTGGTGGTGTTGGTGGGGGTAGGTATTCTCTCCCTTGTGATTACTTGGGTAGAGCTAAAGGAGGGAAAGTGTAATGATTCCTACACTGCCAACTTTTCCTACAGGGAATAAGGAAAGTCAGTGTATTAAGAAAGAAGCTCAGGTGCCTCAATATTGGCAGGTCAAAAAAAAAAGTGAACTCCCTCCATTTTTATGCCATTATATCTGGACGAGGTAAAGCATATTTGATACACAGGTGGGGAAAATTGCTTTAAAACCTAAGTGTATCAAGAAAGGTGACACCAGTAAAGGCCAGATCTACACAATGATTTGGATAATTTGGCTCCTCTTACCCCAAATTAACCAGTCTGACTTCCCATCCACTACTGAGAGTGCCCCATTATCTAGATAGGCCACCCACTTGCCTCTGCCTCATCTGCATCTTTCTCCTTCATTGAATGCTGAATACTACCAACAGCCTAGGAGAAGAACGCTGTTCCCCATATGTTTAAATCAAGGTGGCTTAAATCTCCATGTGGGTGGAAGAATACCCTGTTTCAGTTGCCTTAAATCCCATTTCAAAGAGTGGACTGGAGAGATCATCTATGTGATGCAGCTGCAGAGATACGTAATAAGGAGACCCTTTTCTCAGGGAGCTGATACTTGTTGAGGGTGAAAAACTCACACAAGTCAGGACAGCACAAGACTACGCTATTCTGTGGGCATCCTGGCTGGAAGCACACACAGGGAAGCATGGGAGAAATCTCAGAAAGCTTCCTGGAAGAAGTGGGGTTTGAGCTGAGCCTTGAAAATTGAGTATGATTTGAGATGGTGAAGAGAAGAATGTATAGGCAAGATTGGTATCGAGTTAAGATATAATGACAGGTCTGCCATAAGGTAAGGTAGGCATTTAAAAGTGCTTATTTAAATGAATGAAATTATTTAGAAGCCTGATAATAAATTTGTCTAAACAGTTCTCCTTCGGATGGACTGCCTGCTCTGTTAACCTGAAGCTCTCTTATTTCTCTCCCCCTTTGATGTTATGTCTTTCCCTCATTCAGGAGAGGGAGCTCGGGTTGAGGTTACTGACGATTTCTAGATCTGACAAAATCATTCCCATTGGCACCAGGATGTGAGTGAAGGTTCTTACTCAGAGACTTCTCCATGGGCAAATGTTCCCTGTATTGATGTCCTGTTTACATTCTTTCAAGAATGAGGGATTACTGCAATTCTAAGGAGTTTTGTATTTTTAACAAATCTTCTTGTTATAGTACCAGTTTAACATTTTTGTTTGAAACATCCTGAAATGCAGAATGGTGTAAGGGGGGCGTGTTAGGTTTTTATACACAGAGATGAGTCTACTGAAAATGGCCCCGCATTAGAAACAAGGAAACTTGGTAGGTCACTAATTAGTGGGTGGATAAAGTGGCTCACCCAGCCTAGCTGCACTCTTTCTCATCTGAGAGGCAGGAACAATATTGACTACCCTGTCTATACGAAGAGACAAGAGACTTTTGTTTATGTCCTTTAAAGACAAAACAGTAGAAAGGTAGGTGTTTACATAGCTCTAGTCTCTAGCTAGGGCAGGATTCTGGTGATATTAACCAATGATGAACAGTTTTTTCCTCCCTTGGAAACAGACACTTACTAGTTTGAGCTTTAAGATCCGCATTTTAAAATTACAACCACCAGAAAAATAAATACTACTGGCAAAATGGGAAATCTACGCCCATATTGCCTTTTCTTCAGAATGCATTTTTATGCTTTCTTAGGTCTTGGGCCTGGGACCTGCAATCCACATTAGGACTCAGCAGAGATTTGCTCTTAGAATGGGCCTGAGCTGAGGAAAGCAGTGCCAGACTGTATTATGGATCCTGCCCCAAGCGGGACACCTCACATCTCCATCATCCCTCCAGAATCTCCTCCATGTTGCCCTCACCTCCACCTCTGCTCCAGAAATCTGGCTTTCTTCTGCTTCTTTTCTTTTCTTTTTTCTTTTTTTCCCCTAAACAAGCCACTGTTTCTTCCTAAATCAAGCATGAAAGTCAACAAGTTGAGGACAATTTAATTTCAATAATAAACAGATGTCTTTTGAATTCCTGAGACCCAAAGAAAGGCCCTTCCACGGGAAGCACCTAATTCAAAAGGAGGAAACACCAAGGATTATGAAGGGTTCTGCAATGTGTGTGGCTGCTGCCGCCCACCACCCCTCCTCCCTGCATGGTCCTTCTGAGTTCATCTGAGGGAAGCTGGCTTTCCCAGGAGCCCATCTTTTCCTGGTTGTACAATGTGTTCAGTTCTACCATATGCAGGCTAAACATATGGCGGAACAGTGTGAAGAGGGAAGTCTGTCTATTAGCACATTCAGGGGCAGAGTCTGGGATGTAAGTTCAATAAAGGGCTTCTTGTGTGGGAGCCCGTCACCACGCATCTCTCCAGTGAAAGCCGAGCTAACCTCAATTTGTGTGGGCAATGTGCTCGTGTGTGTGTGCATGTGCATGTGTGTGTGTGTGTGTGTGTGTGTGTGTGTGTGTGTGTGTGGCATATTTACAAGGCCAGATGAACTCAAGCTACTCTGACAGTCTCTTGGTATAAAGGAGGAAAAAAGTATTGGATGACCTTGTGTGTAGGTGTCTCAGAGGAGGAGCCCCAAGAGATTAGAAAATGAAGAGGGGCTGGAATTTTATTGTAATTGGTCTCACATTTCCTGGGAGAGCTTTTCTGATAATATGATCTTTCCCACTTACTTCTCTGCAGCAAAGTTTGGAGACTTACCACACTGAGGAGAAAGAGAGGACCATCTCTACCCAAGCTGAATTCTGAAGAAAACCTGGTCCTAGCTTCCAGAAATCCTCAATGTAGGCAAAGTTTTGGCTCAGTCACCAAGCATAAAACAGAAGCTGAATCCATTACTCAAATTTTCAAATTAACCAGAGGACACGTGGAAAAGCCTTTCTTTGGGGTGGCTGGTTAGCTCAGGTGGTTAGAGCACGAACTCATAACACCAAGGTTGCCAGTTCAATTCCCACATGGGCCAAGGAGCTGTGCGTGCCCTCCACAACTAGATTGAAGACAACTACTTGACTTGGAGCTGATGAGTTCTGGACAAACACACTGTTTTCCAATAAAAATAAATAAATAAATAAATAAATAAATAAATAAATAAATAAATAAATAAAATTTAAAAAGCCTTTTCTTGAGTGAGAAAATGAAAACCTGGTTCAAAGGTGATATGTTGGGTCTTCTCTTGATATGACATGTGAGGGCTATATACTGGAATCTTGGTATCCAGGTCACATCTTCAGCCACTCCTGGATCATACTGCAAGGGAAGGTAGAGTAGGAGCTGGGAATGGGTCTGCAGCAAAAGCAGCAGGAGGAGAAGGAGGCAGGAAGAACCCAGAAAACACGCCTTGGAGACAAGTCTCTCTACACACACAAGAAGGCATCCACCTGGGACAGAAAGGGTTACTAAGTCCTTCCCTGCACCACGACACTGATCTCCTCAGAAAGTCTCCAACTCTCTGTAGCAATCTATAACACGCATCAGTATGGGTGGAAAAGCTCCTTCTATCAAGTTTAACAACTTTCTGGTGTAACTTCTGAGAGGGCTGATTGCTTATTCATGCAGAAGCAAGACGCCCAGTTCGTTTTGCCTGTTTTTGCTACTCTGTTGGGTTTGGGGCGCTGTTATGGTAGCTGTAAATGGCTTCTCAAGTGACATTTGCTGACATTCACTGAAGTACATTTATCAGTGTTCACCAGCTCACCTCTACACATGCAATCCATTTTGTTTTGTTCTTCATAGCAACCTCCTTCCCAACACCCATGCCCTGAAAATGATAAATGGCAAGGTGGCATATTTCTCAAGCTGCACTCAAATGTCACTGTGAAAAATCTTTAATGGACTAAGTGTAGCTCTTCACGTTACAACTTGTCAGGTACTGAGAAATTCTAGAGTTTCTCCTTAATCCACAAGTCTTTGGAACCACACATCTGCAAGCAGAGACTAATTATAAGCTACACCAGTCAGACCTGGCAAGCAGAAACCAAGGAGAAAACATCTGATATCAGCTAATTCTTTTTTATTATTATTCCCATTCCATTTTTGCTACTTCCTTTTCTACGCAGGGAATATGCCAGGTCTGAGCAATCTGTTACTCTAATTAAGTGGGTGACAGCCCCACCAGCCCCCCATGCAGTCCTGTAATCTACTTGTACCCTCAGCCTTCTCCGTAATAGCTTTACTCTTCTCTAAGACTCAAAGTCACTAGGACTTCACCCTTCCCCCCAAACAAAGCCCCCTGATTCTGAGCCATAAATCCTGGTCCCTAATGTTGGCCATAATGGGGTAGTTCAGGGGCATCTGAGATGTCTGGCTAGACGCATCCTTTCTCCGGTCTCTCTAGCCATCCCTCTTCAGAGTGCATGGCTATCATTCCAGATGGCTGAGAATTTCACTTCACCATCTAAAAGTCCTGCTATTTTCCTCCCCTGTCTGCATGTCTGTCCACCACCATCACGATGCTCTCAGGGGAGGTGCCTACAATCACTCACTCACTCACCCCTGAACATGGCTTGTTCACTCAAGTTCTCCTTTTCCAAGTGGTCACTGTTCCCTGGAATGTGATCAAGGGGGAATCAGCCCTTGTCCACCATCATTGGGGGAGAATTTGCTGACTTGCATGTGTCTGAAATGTGTCCAAAAGAGCACCGTCATCAATTTCCATTGATTTTTACAATCAATGTTTGAAGATCAAAGAGGCTGGGAAAGGGGGTAACCTGATGCCAAGGGAAACAACTGGTAGTACAACAAATTGTGCCAACCAAGTTCATCTTTGGCCAGATGCTCAAGATTGAGGTGTCATCGTTTTACTCGAGGCTGAAAAAAGTCCCACCTAGGCCGGCCCAGTGGCGCGTTGGTTAAGAGTTGGCTTGGGATGCCAGCTCTGTGCAGCAGGGCCCCGGTTCAGATCCCACATTAGGGCCAGTGACACTGCCCTCTATAGCTAAAATGGTGAACAATAGCTCAACCTGGAGCTGGGCTGCTGTGAGTCGCAGGCGACGGAGTAGGCTGCGGCCCCTGCTGCAGTGGGTTGCCATAAGCTACCGTGAGTGGCTGGCAGCTGGCGTGAGCGGCTGGCAGCCGGCGTGAGCTGCCAAGAGCTGCAGTGATTGACTGATCTGCCTCACCTGGGAAGAGCGCAATGATCACAATACCAACATGGGCCAGTGAAGAGACATCCTCCACAACTAGACTGAAGAACAAAAGGACAGCAACTTGTCTGTTCCCCTTCCCTGATTCCCCAATGCTGTTCCCCTCCCCCAATTCCCCAATAAAATCTTAAAATAATAATTCCACCCATGCTCTACTCTTGACATCTGCTTCTAGACCCCTTTATCTGAGTACCTACAGGCTCCCCTGTTTTCCCCGAAACATCGTCCTTGGCTTTTCTTCTCCCTTAGGCTTGTTTTCCTTCCTCTTGTGTTGAGTGACTGTCCCCTCTGGCTCCTGGCCCTTGGGACAACCCCCAAGTACAGGTCCTTGGCCACACAGAGGCTCAATAATTTAATAGTCTAAAGATACACAATTTCTGGTAACTACAGTATGGCCTCAGGGATAGAAAAGACAGTCTGGGGAATATAATCAATAATGTTGTAAATGTTTAGGGGGCCAGTCGGACTCATGTCTTGTTAGGGAGGCCACTTCATAGTCGGTGTAGAGGCCTGACCACTGCACTGTATTTCTGAAGCTGATGTTGAATAATATTGTATGTCAACTATAATTATATATACCTATAGTCACAGGACATGGAGTAGAGTGTGGGAATGGAGTCAATGGAATTGTAATAGATAAGTATGATATTGGGGGTGGGAAGGCAGTGGATGGGGGAGGGGGATTGTTACTTTGTGAGGGGTGAAAAGGATAACTATTCCAAGGTCTGTACACCTGAAACTAATAATAAAAATATAAATAAAGATACACAATTTCTAAATATCTCTACTTGTATGTTTTTGTGTTCATTGTTCTCAGTTTTTAGATCTTTTTGAAATCTTCTACTTATGCCAGATCTGGGCTAACAATTTTGCCTTTTCTCGCACCTTAGTTAGGCTAAGGAAGGGCAATTGGTTGTGCCCCCAGCGGCCAGGCATGGTAGGGCAGAAAGAGTGTAGACACCTGCTAAATGCGGTCCCAGCGAGGGTGGAGGGCAAAGGACTCGGGTAACTACCTAGCGATGGCATAGATACCGGACTGACTCAAGCCCTGGTATGGCTAGATTGGTCACTCTTAGCAGGCAAAGACACTCCACAGAAGAGAAGATGTGTCAGCTGTCCATGTAACTTGAGCAAGGCTGACAATCAAACCAGAAAGGTGAGGGGGAAAATGTATTACAGCTTTGGAACCCACTAAAAAACCAAGTACAGGATAGAAAGTGATTTTTGTAGGCAATGGTTATGTATTTATTTACATGGATGTTTTGTGCATTCCCGTACGCTGTTTCAGATACAGAGGGCAAAATATAAGAGATAGCTACATCCTGTTTTCATTATTGGCTATTCAATAATGGAAATTAATGTTTCATTAATTTCAAAAAATGCTTGAGTAGTTCTTTCCAAATCAGTGGAAATCCCATTGTGTCTCATCTGATGATGAAAACAATATTTGGGTTGGGTATTGGACCTCAGATGACATCCGAGTACCCTGGGATGAGGTGTGTGTGTGTGTGTGTGTGTGTGTGTGTGTGTGTGTGTGTGTGTATATGTGGGAAGTGGACTCTGGAAGGATGGGGAGTGGAGATGAAGGGGGCACCTTTCAGAACCCAGGAAACTATAAGGATGCCAGGCACCCAGTTTCTCACCCAATAAATAAAACAGCCTTCATTTTAATCTATAATTACAGTCTGCACATAATAATTAACACGAAATTGCTTTTTTAGACATTCTCATACATTCTAGACATTCTTCCTTTTATTTAACTATTTCAGAACAGAGGTCAGGAAGAGCTTCACTGAAGTCCCTTTGGTTAGGTATGTTCTCAGTATGGTGAAACAACCTCCACTACAAATAGAGCAAGGTTTGCTGCCTTTCATCACCCTCCAATGGTATCTCCTGGGCTAAGGGTCAGCGCTCTGCATCCAGGACCTCTCTATCCATCCTCTACTGCAGAGAACAGCACAAGCAAAAGCCAGGAAGTGTGCCCATGTCCAAAGAGGGTATTTTACAGCCCCTGCCTGCAGTGAGGGACATGGGAGGGGCTCCATCAACAGGAGCAGTAAATACCATGAGGGTCTTTGTCGGTTGTCTGATCCTTCCACAGGGCGTCTAGGGTCTGATGGGGGTGGAGGCACTCACACAGGAGCTTGTGCTGACCCTTCCCATCAATATCCAACTTGCTTCAACAAAATCAAGTGAACCAAATCACCATCACAGATGCCTCCCTTGAATCTGATGACCCCTTCCAGAAACCGTCCATTGACCTGCTTCTCTGACATAAAACAATCCCAAAGAGCTGAAGAGGTTGTTGTCCAGTCTGTCTCCCATCCCCACCTCTTCAATAAGAGTGCTGTTCTCAAGGACGTGCACATGCCAGTCACACAGGCCTTCTGTTTTGGGTTTTGGGACATGACACACCCCCATTCTCCCACCTTAATGCCTTTGCCTAGGCTCTTCTCTCTGCCTGCAGTGCTCTTCCCAGAGTTGGCTCTTCTGTTGAATGGTTCAAATGGCTCCTTCTTAGAGAGGCTTTATCTGAGGAACCCGTCTAAATTGGCTCCTGAAGTCACTGTATCACATCACCCTGTTTTATTGTCTTCACGGCACGTCTCATCTTTGGAAATGATCTTCTTTTGTTTGTTAACATGTTGATGTCCGATGTCCTTGATCTAGAGTGCAAGCCCGTGGAAGCGAGGACCTCACCTGTCTTCTTTACTGCTATATCCTTAGCATCTGGAACATTGCCTTGCTCCTAATAGGTGCTCAATAATTATTTGTTAATAAAATT